TGGTTAGTAATAAAAGCACATTAAAATAATTGAAGATTCTGGTTTGCGTAGATCCTGACACCCTTTGCCTAAGGACGGGATGCAGCCCAGGGACACTGGCAAGGACCCCCAGCTGCCCAAACCAGCCAGCCATTCGGATCCCCGGGATTTCCCGCCGTGTCGCCCTCACGGTCTATAAAGCCTTTGTCTTCTGTTGCTCAGGGCCCTCTTCCTCCTAAGGCAGGCACCCAACACACACGGTCCTGTGTTGCGCTCCTTACTTCGGCACATTTCCATGACAATGTTAGTTTATTTTGGGGATTGCAGACACTTGTTTCGTTAGTTTTATTCTGTGTTTTACATTGCTCTGTGCCAGGCGTCGACTGTGACTGTGACAGTATAAATGAAAGAAGACAAATCTATAATCCAGTTGATGGCGTTTTTCTGTAGAAAGGAATGATACATCACATAGAAAAAGGGCCTGTAGCTGGGCCTCAACGGGGTCTGGAGAAAAACCCTGCGAGGGGCACACCCAGCCCCATGGGTCTGGTGCCCAGGTGCTGCCCCCAGGCCTGCCTGGCCCAGGTCATCTGTGGGACTCCAGCCTTAGACTTTCTGCCGCTGGGGTCCCTCCCGGCCTCCAGGGCCAGGGAGACGTTCTCTGCTGCTGCCCTCCTCGTTCAAGGGGCGGGGTTGATGCGGAGCCCATCCCCCTTCCTGAAGCCCCCTTCTCCTCCTCCTTTCCCTCCCCCTCCCCCTCCCCCTTCTTCTCCTTCCTGATGCTTCACAATTCTTATGCTGAGGGCGCACTGGTCCCCGACAACGAGCAGCGGAAGGAGGGGTGTTTGGTGGTTAATCCCGGCTGCTGAGCGGGAATTCTAGCCAGAAAAGACTAAGGAATTGTGGTTCCCTGCCCCCCATGCCAGGCAGAGGCACCAGGGTGGGAAACGGCCCAGCAGGGTCCCTTCCCCGCCCCCGGAGGCAGTTGATGGCATCCTGGGCCAGGCTGGGCGCTGCCCTCCTGGCAAGAAAGCTTTGGGAGCGGTGACGCCCTTTGATCTTGGCAGGGACCTCTCTTCCCTTCGATGGTCCTCGGGAATCCCAGGACTTCCCGCACGTCCGGGGACTGTGACGGGAACGAGGGAGGGCGCTGGAGAGCGCGACCGTGGACCGACCAGGAAGGGTGTCCCCGCCTTGCTCCGGCGCGGCGGAACCCGCAGACCCCCCGCGCGAGCGAGGGGCCGGTCGGTCGCGTCCGGGCCAGCCCAGCCCCGCTCCGCTCCGGCCGGCGGGGCTGCCGCTCGCCCCCAGGAAGAGGCG